CATCAGTCACTATCCTCCCTTGTATTTATCCATATGTTGTAGTTATCCTAATCATTATAGGATTAGGATAATCATCCCCTTTATTGTTGTAATCCTTATCTCCTAAGGAATATGCTTATTCTCTTGTATGTATATATATGTATGTGCACGTGATGAATAAGATACACAGAGTTACAACCTTCTTCTTTATTCCATAACAATAAGACTATTATTTTAAAATAAAAGGAGTATTAATTTTTAATTGAAAACCTAATTTAATTGTAGTCCGGTTTGTTTGAGAGTATAGTGATCTAAGTACGATATAGTTTGGGATTTGGAAAGAAACTCAATTCAAAATATTAAAGACCCATTATCTTAAATATATTGTTTTTCTGGTTGACTAAGGGAAATGTTAGTGATGATATTATAATAGAAATAAATATATGAATTACTCATTTCATTTCCGAAAATCTCTATGTTGAAAACCTGTAAACTTCACAAATTAAATGCAACAACTGTTTTTCTAGTCAATTGGTAATAATTTAGCGTAGCAAATAATTCTGGTCGTATATATAGTAGCTATTCACCTACCTATTTGATGTTTCTTGCAAATGTCACAATATTGTGTAGTGGTTAGATTACTACATATTAATTTTATGACCAACTATTTACCTGTAGCCAACGTCAAGCTGGCAAGGGAGTGCTAGTAGCCTTTTGGTGTTCATAATCGATCCGCGTTGGCATATACTATTTATAATGTTTATGTTTTTAGCAAAGAAATGAAACCATTTTTTTATTATAAAAACCTATTTTCCCATAGAAAGTTTTAAGTAAATATAAAGAATTAATGCATATACTTTTAGGTACTCTCCGTAGAGCTATAACCGGAATGTGAATGCCAACTCCTCGGAACGATATTTGGTGCGACATGGTCATGTGAATCCCTACTCTCTTTCAGTTTATAAGTCATGACTCGTGATTCGACTCATGAGTCATGCCTCGCACCACCTTTACCCCGACCATTCCGTACACTATACGCGTAGTCAAGTACGTAACGTTGATTTACTTACAACTACAATATCTCTTCTCTAACATAGAAGTACGATCACACGTGTGTATGTATTACAGATATATCATGAATTCAAATAGTTGCAGCACAAGCAGGTTAATAGGTAGCAATGGTTTATCAAATGCGAGTTTTGGAAAAAAAATTTCTTCAGTTGACCTGTTTTGTTTATCCAATGATTAGTTAAACATTACGGTTAATCATAAAGTAAATACGTGAGAGGTTTAATACGTTAATCACAAAACAAAACCGGTAGTGTATTATACTAATCAGTACATATACATAATATGATAATAATGTGGTAAAGCACACACCAAATAAGTATCTAAAACCATCTCCAGTGAGGAGTTCTTACGGCGGAATCTTAGCGGAATATAAAAATTTCGTCGTAAAAATTTTTTATTGGAAATGCTCTAAAAGCATGATTAATTAAAATTTTTTAAGATAGGCTTTTTAGCGGAATATAAAAAAATATTTCTTATATTCTGCTAAAAACCACACCATAAAAACCCCTATTAATTATGCTCTAACGGATGCTATATATATGTGACATTACATTATATAAATCAATGGTCCATAACTATACTTCACTAGAAATCTGTACAACAAATCTAGGGCTTAGCTAGTTAGAATTGTCAGTCAGTTTTCGTGTTGGACTGAAATAGTTTTATCCACATATATTATTTTTAATTATATAACCAAATAATAGTAGTGAAGTACGATTGCTAGATTTAATAGAAGTAGCGAAGACGTAGCCAGTGTTTGAAATAGTAAAGATAGGTATGGCACTAGACCAACTTTAGATTTCAACTGTTGGTACTGACAATACTATGACTCTTCTATTTTTGTTTACTTTTTGTTCTTCTACTTCATCTCATAGATATGGACGATGTGGTAATTCTAGTCCATACCCATTGAATTCATGTTCTTTCTTTCCATAACAAATAATTCGAATAAGTTATTATGTGTGTGATTGGTAGTGTTTTAAGCAACTAAGATACATCTAAACTAAGATAAACTGTTTTTTTACTTGTGTTCTAATCTTTTATGTTTAAGTGTGTATCACAATACTTCGTGTATTCTGTTTCTTTTTTTTTTTTCTTTTTTTTTCTTTTTTTTTTTCGTCACTGCTGTATTCTGTTTCTATTACAAGGGTTAATGAGAAATGATAAAATCGTGCAAATATAAGGATCACGTTGCATTGGAATAAAAAAAAACTATAACTCTATTGACATGGTTTAAACAGGATATTGAAGTAGCAAGAACGTTATGTATTCATGCGTGTCTATACAAAATATAGTAAAATATATGCATTTCAAGTAGCTTAGATTGAGGAAGATTTTGCACATAAAGTTTGGATAGTTGCTATGCTGTGATATAATTATAATCGGTCACTATCGTATTCTCTCCTAACCAAAGAAAGAAAACTATATAATTATAATATAAAGCTTGAGTCTTGACATAGCATACAAATGGCCACACCTTACCATATGACTTTATATTATTAATTTCTCTTTGCCCACTCTCTCCGTTCTTTCATTTTCATTGAAATAGGTGATGAAACCTTGCATTTTATTTGAATATATTTGGTTAACTGTAAGAAAATTAACATGGGTTGTAGCAGTGGGTGAATCAGTTTCTTTGTTCAATTTTTTTTGTTGTCAATTATGATATAAATAGTGAAGGACGTGATCTGAAGAAAACAAAGTTACTGATATGAATAACGAACGAAGTGATCAGCCATATACTGAAATTTTACTGAATTAACATGTGCGATTTCAATAAAGTTGGTGAGTTAATGGTTGAAGAAAAGTAATAAACAATTTTGTTAAATAAGAGTTAAACAATATTCCCCCCAAAACACTATATAGCTTTGAGTTTACAGTGTTACTTCTGTGAAATATATTAATTCCTATGCAGAAAAAGATCTTTTCATAAGTTCACAGTAGAAACACATTGTTGGCCGTACGAACGTCTTTTCTCAATTCAATTGGATGATTATTTAAAACACATTAATTGTTTTAAACAATGCAATAGTATTGATGAATAATGAATGTGATTTTTATCATCTCAATAGCTTTCGCATTATAGCGAAAGACGAATATGTGTGAAACAAAAGGTTTGTACGTTCAAACCATTCCTTTAAACTTCCCCTCTTCAGGAAACAATTTTTTTCGTTTCCAACTAGTTTCACGTATTCCTCTTGTTACCCTTTCTAGACAATATTGTTTAAAGCTAATTTGAGATAATTATATGATCACCTTGACCTAAACGCATCTCTTTAACCAAAACCACTTGATGACAACAAGTTTACAGCCATTTGTGTACTTATCTACTTTAGAATGTGCTTTACAAATTGAGGGACGAGTGTGATTATAACCAAAATATATACCATGCAAGAACAAAACCTATAACCGTTGTGTAATTTTTATGGCTAAGAATATGGAAATTGACCCTGCGAGAACAAAATAAAGCAGGGGTCATTGTTTAAGTCAAAGGGACTTTGACCATCATGCCAGATGTCTCCTGTACAATGTCTGTTAGGTCGAAACTAATATTACGTAATTTGATTTCAGATTTGAAGTTTTACGAGTCTTACGACATGTATATAAAGTTTTGAATTCTCGCAAGGCGGCAGCCGATCATGTTCCAAGCTTTGGATGAATATCAATAAAACTCACAACTGTGATAAATTTATAAGAAATATACATTGTGTTCTTTTGCTACCACGAAATTAATATTAAAAAAAAAACTAAAATATCTACAATTATAGTCTAAGAACTTCGGCGTGTAGACCAGATGTACTTGACAAATGACAACAAGTCTACAACTACTTGCGTGGTTCGTGGTTTATTCAGAAAACGATTTTGAAAAATAAAAAAGAAAATATCAGAATTAATTAAATACACATATAACCTCAGAGTCAGAGTCTCTCTCTCTCCCTCAATCTCTATCTGCCCATATTTTCTTGCTGTCAACAAATTCATTCACCAATCTCTTTCTATTCCCATCAACAACAAACAAAACACAAAGAGTCCATTCACAATATTAAAACCATTTCACCAAAAACCTTCCCACAAGCAAACCTCTCCTCAACAATGTCGTCTCGAAACTGCATATCAAGAACCCACTTCTGGTTTCTTCTTCTCATTATTCTTCTTGGTTTCTGTAACGGAGCAAGAACAAGCAAGAACGTCTTCAACTCAAAACCACACAAGAAAGATAATAACAACGTCGTTGCATCTTCATCTAAACAGTTCTTGGGATTCTTGCCACGTCACTTCCCTGTTCCAGCTTCTGGTCCCTCTAGAAAACACAATGATATCGGTTTACTTACTTGGGATCGATCTTCCCCGTGAAAAGCTTTAAAGGTCACCCCACGTACTTTTTTATTTATTTTTCTATTAGTTATTTTCCTTTTTCTTGTATTTGATTTTCCTATTTTACCCCGTGCTTCTGAATTTTAAGCTGGTGTAAATGGTTTATTTTTTGGTTTTTGAGATGCCAAGAAAATGTGTTTTTGGTTTGATTCACATCTATAGTCTATGATTAACTTGTAACTGGAAGTTGTTGATTTATTTATTTATGATAACACGAATTTGTATTATTGCACGTATCAAAATGTAAGGGCCGACTTTGTCGGGACTAGTTATGCGTGTGTGTTGTAAAAGAGTTTGCTCAATCGTTCAACTTTAAAAGAGAAGTGAAATATATGGTGTAACTATAAAGTTTGATACAGATTGGTCTTGAGATATATGATCGACTTTTTTGGGATCTTTTTATTTGTTTGCTTGTAACCAATAATGTTCTTTGAAATGTCAATCGTGAATTGTCAAATGTGATGGACCAACAACGCTTTGCATACATGCATCTAATCTTTATAGTCATTTAATTAATTTAATTATTAGACATTCTACAAATCTAACAATGCAATCATCACCGTTACAGACTTTTCGCTTAATTTTGTATTTTTTTCATAATAATAAGGTTTTTTTTTGAGAAAGGTAATCATGCGGTTTCGTAGTTAAAAAACGAATATCTATCATATGATTGTTTAAGAGAAAAAAGCAATGACTCGGATTTAAACCGAATTTGGTTTTATCTGCGTAGCATTTAAAATCTCTGCTAATGAATCATCGTTTCAACTTTCAACGAAATATAAATCGGTTTATCTATATATCTATTTGCTTATTTATCCACAAATATTTAGCTATTTAGAATGAGCTCGTTATTAAAAATGATCAGAGCTATAACAAAAAATATACATATAATCATCATCATTACATGTTAACGTTTCTTTAGAGTCATGAGTTCTGAAACCTCGAAAATAACCTTTTCTATTCATGCTCTGTCGTTTAAATTCAGGCAATCATTCTCCTTTTCTGTAAGTTAGCTGAATTACGCACGGCGGTTACTGCTGATTTATTAATAATACTGCTACACACAGTATAGTTATGGGAAACTCCAAAATAAAAAGAAGGACCAGTTATTTTGTAAAGTTATTTTCCATGTAAAAGATGTTTTTTTTTTGTTGTTGCAAAAATATCATTAAAGTTGTGATTGATTATTGTCTTTACTCTAATGTATGTAAGAGTAAATATGTGTTTTCCTAGGTAAGACAATAAGATATAGCACTTCGTTTTCCCGACGCCCATCGGATCAACAATTATCTATATATATAAAGTAGAACTCTCTTCTTCCTCCTTAAGCCACGTCACTTTACTAAATAAGATAACAAGAATGAGACACGTGTCCTAATGGGTTTGTAGTTTCTCAAATGATGTTGTTGCACGATTTAAGTTCTTACATGGGCCATTATTTACAAACTTAGCTCTGTAAAATAATAAATTTCCAACCCACTAATGANTCTATATATATAAAGTAGAACTCTCTTCTTCCTCCTTAAGCCACGTCACTTTACTAAATAAGATAACAAGAATGAGACACGTGTCCTAATGGGTTTGTAGTTTCTCAAATGATGTTGTTGCACGATTTAAGTTCTTACATGGGCCATTATTTACAAACTTAGCTCTGTAAAATAATAAATTTCCAACCCACTAATGAATAGGTTACGAACAAACGTCTTTTCGTTTTCGTAACCGTAGCATCGCAACTATCAGATCATCTTCACTCGATTCAATATTAATATCTTGCAATCAATTCACCTCACTTTCTCCTCACCAATTCAGATTTTTCACCAAACGTGGGAGTTTCAGAGAAACAGAAAGACCAATCCGATGAGATACAATAAAGAGACAAACCACGTCACTAATTTTGATGTTGAGAACTTGAGAGGCTAGGAGCAGAGGTCAATCAAAGAAAACTTGCCATCGAAGGTATACAGTTTCTTGCTGGGAGACAAATCTGAGGATAGAGTTGAAGCTAATAAGCTAATGTGTTTTTCTGTGCAACGATTGAGAACACGAGCTATATCCTAATTACCCTTCTTAATTTCATTTTGATTTTATTCAATTATTTAAAATAGTATACCTCAATCATCTAGCTTTTCTGAATTCTATGAGATCAATAGTATTCGTAAAATAAACTAAACAAAGATCATATTCAAAAGAGGTTGTCACAACATATAGCCGTGTCTTCTTTTGTCATATTTTCTTTCTGTGATTTCTCAGAGACAGAGTCAAGTGGAAATATAAGAGAAGTGCATCGGCCACAGACTTACTGATCCTAAAATAATGCTTATGCATAGTTGTTGCTTTTATTTACTTCGTCTGGTTTTAACTATCTTCAGCGGACTATAAAGAAAATCATATTTAGAATTCATTATCATCTTTGGCCACATGTTAGTGAACTATTATGTTTTTGCTCTATTCTTTCATGTCAGCATTACAACAAACTAAATCTCTAACGATAATAGCTACTGAGATATCATCCATAATATGTGTCACCTAAGTTACGTATACGCCTGTCTCCAGTTTTGTCTGAGCAAAGATTGAAGTTGAAATTCAACATAGAAATAATTAGAAATATCTAAATTTCACACATGCAACTTTTACTTAATATAAATTAAACATTATAGATTAGTACACAAACATAAACAAATAAACATTAAAATTTTTATTAGAAACATCAAATATATAATTTTCGTAACAAGTGATCAACTAAAAGGTTACAAAAAAAACAAACTTATTTATCTTACATTCTTCTAAACTTAGTTAAGAGTTCTTTAAAGTAAATATTTTCATGTTCGTTGATATTAATATCTAATTAGAAGAAAATAATAATAGAAACATCAAAATTAATTGGATGATATAACATATATAATATTTTATCAGTAAATAAGAATAATTAAAAATTAAGGACCAAGTTACAATTAAAAATCGATCTTAAAAAATGAAGATATCAACAGTGTATCTTCAAATTTGAAGCAACACTGTTCATTACTTCATTTTGAAGCAAGAAATGAAGTACCATTGAAGTAAATATTTCTTCAAAATGAAGTAAAAAATGAAAATGAAGTACCATTAGAAATAATCTTAGTAAATAAGAACCACAACAAACCAAGCTCGGCACACACATGAAACCCTACTACTTGGGAGGCCACAATTTATTAAAGAACTGCCACCATTATTTGAAAACAAATCTTTTGAACAGGTGTTACATACAAGTTACAATTGACACCAGCCAGACATTTCAATAAATAGTCAACAGGTATCATCCTATTGCGCCATGCTAAAAGCCTCACAGAAACTGTTTTGATCAACAACCAACTTTGAGAAATTAATACGATTATAATCATTGTTTAAAATTGAATTTATACATATGGTACAAAATACAAATACATCAAAACAGATGTAGGACGAAGTGGGAAATAAAATCAAAAGACTTATTTTCTAACGTCTCTGAAAGTTATGAATTCAATGGTTCTAAAACTAAAAAATATGTTTGTAGATTTAACAATATTTTACATACAAACTTCTACCAGTAAGGTAAAATAGTATTTAAATAATTGATCCGATTAGTTGGGTTATACATCATAAATATTGTTGTAAGAATTTAGTTTATAGCTTTTATCGATATAGTTGTAACTTTTTTAGCTGTAGAAACATATTATAATTTTTAAACCTTTGATTTAACGAAATTAACAAAACATGAACACAAAAAATTGGACTGTCGATTTAATGTGGGGGTGGGGGGTGGGAGAGGAGTCCATTAAATTACTAAAAAACTTATTCGAAACAAAGTTTTAAATTTTTTAAGGTGAACTGAAACATTTCTACAGTCCAACAATTTAACTATTTTCTGTTCGTTTGGCTAATCACCTTATATATAATTTTCAATTAAAAAAATATTAAAAGTTCAATTTTGTGAACAAAAATAAATAAATAATAATTTTAAAATTTTCTAGCAACTTATATTCTAATAATAGCTTATCAATAATTTTAAAATTGTCTAGCAACTTATATTTAATAATATTTATATGCTAAAATATACATACAAAATATAAATAATTAAAATTAAAAATTAAACAATAAAACCCGGGCGTAGCCCGGGCCAACCCCTAGTNGTGAACAAAAATAAATAAATAATAATTTTAAAATTTTCTAGCAACTTATATTCTAATAATAGCTTATCAATAATTTTAAAATTGTCTAGCAACTTATATTTAATAATATTTATATGCTAAAATATACATACAAAATATAAATAATTAAAATTAAAAATTAAACAATAAAACCCGGGCGTAGCCCGGGCCAACCCCTAGTATAAAATAAAAATATACTCTTCCTGTTTTAAAATAATTGATGTTTTGGTTTAATGTATAAGAATTAAGACATATACTATAAGAATTAAGACATACACTTTTATCTAAATATATTATTAAAAATATAAATAAAAACTAATTCAACCAATCATCAAAAGAACTATGTAAACATCATTGGTCAGACAATATTCAATAAAACTAAAACTAATATAAAAATATCTAATTATCATGTAATTTGAAACATAAAAAAACTCTTCAAAATATAAAACTAATATGTTTTTCATTTTTCTCAATCTGAATAATAACCAGAGTAAATAAGTAAAAATATATTTTATTTAATTAGATTTTATTTTGAATAACAAAAATAAAAAATGAAATTTCTTTACTTTAAAAATGACATCCAATCGCATTCTAAAACTGCATATCACTTTGTTCCTGTCTAGCAAATTGTGTTTTTGAATGATTTTTTTTAGACCATTGTTACAAAAGAACAATTCCAAACTTAAATCTTTTTGATAATTATCTCTTTATGGTAAGGTAATATAATCTTTATCAGTAATCACTCCTGATATTCAGTAATAATTATCTTTTATCCCTTTGACAGTCCATTAGAGAAACTTAATTGAAAGTTAAATTTTGAACCATTGCAAGGTAAATTTCTATTGCTTTTGCATAAGAAATAATCTTTGAGATTTGATTTAACAATTAGCCATGTTATCTACTAATCAATAGTATTCATTCCAAATTGAGAGTTTGTAATTCAGGTTCAGACATTCAGTTATCTTGATATTAATTAGGGAAATTTGATTAAATATTTTCAACTTTTAAAAATAAGCTAAAAATAGTCTTCAATTCACAAACACAACATTTGATATTCAACTGATAGTTAAAGATAAATAAATCTCATATTTTTGATGATTAAGTCATTTCAGTTTCATCAAAGTCATTGTTTAGTGTTGTTAATTATATTTAATGATTGATTTCAACGAGGTCAAAATGGTTTACTTAATACAAATATGGTTTGTTTTGTTCTAGTTTAAAAATTAAGGATTAAACTTGGTTACTTAAAATGACTTACTTGTATTTCAATTAAAATGACTTATTTAGACAGATATATATTAAATAAATTTAGGATCGATGAACTATTTCCGCACAAGAAATATCATATGTCTCCAAACTATGAACATGTTCTATATATCTGAAATAATAGTTCAGACTTAATTTCCCACAAGACAATAGTTTAAACTTTATATCTTCGTGTCTTTAAGTTTGAAATCTAAAATCCCATATACCGTGATTATAATTGGTTTATTATTCTTATATCAAACTATAAACCATTTTAAATTGACATTTAACTAAAATTAAAATCCGACTTAGATCTATTATTTTTTTTGCATTTAAAATGACATGAATCAGACTCATAATTAGATCTAATTTCAGATTGAGTTTTGTTAAATTGTGATTTAAAATGGTTTAGAATTTAATTAAACCGAATTAATTAATTATGGTTTGTGGGTTTTTAGATTTCAAACTTTAAGGATATGGTAAATTAAGTCATAAACTATTATTTTGGGGATATATAGAAAAACATCTGATCAAATATGATAGATATCATGGAGAAATAGGAAAATCTCATACTTTTGTTGACATTCAAAACATGTTTATTTAAGTAACTCATAGTAATTGAGATGAAAAACTATAATTTCTAGCAAAGTAACCAAGTTTAGTGCCTATCTTTTAGTTTAGAACTAAAAATTTTCATTTTTGTGTTGACCAGACCATTTTACATCATTAAAAGCTAACCGTTAATTTTTGATGGAACTAAAATAGCTTAATCAACTTTATGAAATTTACTCATGTTTGTTTAAAAGTTGAGGATTAAAATCGTGTGTCTTTAATTAGTTTTCTTGAATTTTTCTTGGAAGTCAGAGATTAGTTTGTAACTTTATATATATATATATATATATATATATATTTTTTTTTTTTTTTTGTAACACTGTAACTTTTTATATTTAATTGATACTTTTTGTTAATATAAATATTATTTTATAAGAAAATTGGATACCGTCAGAAGTGGTCATAGGGCCCGGCCCACTCTTTTTAAACGAGACGGGCATAATCTCAAGCAACAAATAAGAACAAGAACTTATGACCAAATCCATAAGAATTTAAAACGTGAATGACATTATTTGATCCATCGGCCATTCTCAAAAATTTTCTTGTAAGAACAAGACCGAGAAACAACACAAACAACTTAAACCGAGACATCAAACGTTAAAAAACCAAAATCATGATTCAACAGGAGACTCAACTTTGCTTTCCTCAGCTGCATAAAACGGGATGGGTTTCCTCGGAGCAGGAAGACGTCCAATGCTGTCGACTCTATCTTGTTGTTTAGGAGGTGGTCTTGCTGCTTTTGGCAACAGCCTTCCTTTCTTCTCAAACCATTCCGGTTTAAGCAACGCCCTCAAACCCAATTTGTTGTAATACACTCTTCTCACTGATCCTCCTGCTGCTTCCACAACCTCCTTGGCCCTAACTGTCACTCTCGAGACCTATAATAAAACATAACCACTTAAGACACTAATTGAAATAAGTATAAGTTCATGATTCAAATGGTAACCTCGAAATGAAGTGGCCACTTGATCTCATCAGCACCACGTCCCATTAGTCTTACTCCGTCTTCTATTTGCTTTCCTATAGCTCCCACATCCTGCAGATCCGCTTTAACGGTTTAGTAAGAAACAAACAGATGTGAATCAAAGAGTGATGAGTGTGACCAAACCTTGAGTGTTTTCATTGTGATCAATTCATGAGAATCTATCTGCCCAGCGTTTATGAGTTTAGCTATCTTCCCCAAACCAACCGGCTGCATCAGACAACAACCATACATATCCTTAGACACAGTATCATCTATTATTACAAGTAGCTAAAACATAACATCAATGAGATTCAAAAACAATCAAAAGATTGACCCAATCTGATTTAGATTCCCATATTAAACCTAATCTAATTAGTTATAAACCGGTCTAAACCAAATAAACAAATCACAGAACCGAAAGATTTGAACTTTAACCTGAAAATGGAGCTTAAACTTGTTCTTGAACCCATCCGATTCAAAAATAATCAAAAGAATGACCCATCTGATTTAGATTCCCATACTAAACCTAATCTAATTAGTTCTAAACCGTTCTAAACCGGTCTAGACCAGAGAAACAAATCTCAGAACCGAAAGATTCAAACTTTAACCTGAAAATGAAGCTTAAACTTGTTCTTGAACCCAGCTGATTTAAATTCCCACCATATTAAACCTAATCTAATTAATTCTAAACTGTTCTAAACCGGTCTAAACCAGAGAAACAAATCTCAGAATCAAAAGATTCAAACTTTAACCTGAAAAAATGAAGCTTAAACTTGTTCTTGAACCGATCTTATTTAAATTCCCATATTTAACCTAATCTAATTAGTTCTAAACCGTTCTAAACCGGTCTAAACCATAGAAACAAATCTCAGAACCGAAAGATTCAAACTTTAACCTGAAAATGAAGCTTAAACTTGTTCTTGAACCCACGTTTCGGTAAACGACGTCGTAACGGAGTCTGCCCACCTTCGAAACCGAACTTCATCGTCCCTCTCGCCTTCTGCCCCTTGTGACCTCTCCCCGCGGTTTTACCTTTGCCAGACCCAATACCTCTTCCTTTCCTCGTCTTGAGCTTCCTCGGCACATTGTCTCTCAGATCGTTCAAGCTCAACAAACTGTAAGCTCTAATCCCCTGAAACGACGACGCTTTGCACGCAAAGGTTGGAGCTTGTGTGAGGATCGGAGATCGACGGCATTGGAGAAGCGGCGAGGAGACGGTGAATCTGGGTTTGGAGGAGTGGTGGAGCGAGGAATTGATGAGAGACGATGAAATGATCGAAGAGATTCTTCTTCTGATCATTTTTTTCGATTTAGGTTTTGAGATCTTCTTTGATTCCCAATTTGGGGATTTAGGGTTTATGAGATTCAGGTTGGGATCGTTATTGGGCTTCTTTGTTGATATGATAGGCCTGTTTATGGCCCAATCTTCTTCGCTGTCCAAGGCTGACTTAATTCAACCGTCCGGTTAAGTGCATGACCGAATTTATTTTCCCCGCCAATTTACAAAACGTCGCCGTTTTTAGTGAACTTTACATTTTAAAAACAAAATTTGTTTTATGAGAAATTCCTTATGATAGATGTAAAAAAATTCTTTTTTCACAAATATAAAACTTAAAAATAAAAATGACCAAAATAGACTTAAATGTTTTATCAAAAATAAGTAAATATATATATTTATATCATTTGGGTTAACTAATTTTAGATTTTTTTATTTACCATTGAAGAGTGAAGTTTTAGGGATAAAATTTCAAATTCAAAAAATAAAATAAAATAAATTTTTTAAAAAAATAAAAAATGTTATTTTAGTCATTTTTTAGTTTTTGAAATCTATTTTTATGATAAAAGTTTGAAAAGTCTATTTAATAGAATTGCCTATATTTTATTGCCTTTGTTTTAAACATCTTCTTGATCTGATAGGTTGACCTTGTTAGCTTTGCTACTCAAGATGCGATTATTCCATTGCTTTTGATGAAGAATCGAAAACTGGTACATTGTCTCCCATTGCTTTTGTGTTCTGGTCTATGTCTTAATCGAGTTCACTAATTATTATTTGTCTAATGGCAGTTGGGAAGATTTCTAGGCGAGTTTTATTAGTCAGGAGAGTTATTTGAGACAAGGAAGGTCAAAACCCAACAGAAGCTTGTAGGAGCAGCAGTGACGAGTTTCTGTTAGCTACCTTGTACCAAGGTCAAAGTCAGTATCTCTATAATCATAGTAAAATTAATATTAAGTATTAGAACAAAGATATGTATGCTTTCATTGTTGTGGAGAGAAAGAGAAGGCACTGAATTTGGAAGATTTTGTAATTAAGCTTAAATCTAGTCCGATTTCTAATGACCGTTCGTTTAAACGTTCTTTTAAACATTTTGCTAAAGCGTTCTTTTAAACATTGATTACTGGTAATACGTTTCCAGTAGAACTTTTCTTATTGAATGCAAATGGACAAACGAAATACCAATCAAATGTTTATAATCACTAATCCAGCCAACCTGGAAAATCAGATCCTGCATGTTATTTCTTTCCTTTTTTACGCAATATTCTATTTCTTTCCCTTTTTACGTAATATCCTCTCCTCGATTCACTACCAAGAGAATACTGACTATACAATTGAAATAAATATTCGAATAAATACTTACTATAAAACAAATTACTATTACGTGGCTTATGAATCATTTGTTTTAACCTTACCATAGAACAAATATTTAATCAAATATGTGTCTCTCTATGGAAACTTTCGGACATAACTCTTTGTTTGACCATCCTTTACCTTCACTTTCATCATCATTTCTCTCTTGGAAGACAGAAAAATAATTTTAAGAGAGTAAGAGCAACCACAGCAAGGGTTTATAAGGGGTTCATGGGCTGGGTTTGTCAGGCCCGGATATTTAAAAAAAAAAGAAAAATACTCATTTACAAGTGAACCGGTTCACTCGAGTGAACCCCTATGAAACGGGGTCACTCCACGCGTCATTCTCTGAGTGGACACGCCAGAGCCGCGTAGAAGAGGGGGAAAGGGCTGCGCCATTGTTCGAGCCCGGAGAGCTTGCTTCGTGGTCATTCTGGAGAGCTGGAATCGCCGAGTTCATAGCCACGTTTCTCTTCCTTTACATCACTGTGTTGACCGTCATGGGTGTGAAGAGGTCACCGAGCATGTGTGCTTCTGTCGGAATCCAAGGCATCGCTTGGGCTTTCGGTGGTATGATCTTCTCTCTTGTCTACTGCACCGCTGGTATCTCCGGTAAGTCTCCACCACCTTCCAGATTCTCCGATCTAAAAATTTATAGCTTCTTCAGATTCTTTCTTATCTAGGGATAGATGGTACTGTTATGTTATGTGAAACTAATGAGTAGTAAAAGTTAGAACTTTCTATTTGCAGATTTTGTAATAACGCTTTGTGTTGTGTTTTATCTTGTATGAAGTTAAGGAGCAGTAAAGTTTAGAACTTTCGATTTGTATATGTTGTAATAACGATCTGTGTTGTGTTTTATTATGTAACTAAGGAGCAGTAAAAGCTTAACTTTGGATTTGTAGGTTCTGAAATAACGGTTTGTGTTGTGTTATGACCCTCTCAGGTGGACACATCAACCCAGCTGTTACGTTTGGTCTGTTCTTGGCAAGGAACTTTCACTCACACGAGCTGTGTACTACATAGTGATGCAGTGTTTAGGAGCTATCTGTGGAGCTGGTGTTGTCAAGGGGTTCCAACCAAAGCAGTACCAAGCTCTAGGAGGTGGAGCCAACACGGTAGCTCCTGGTTACACCAAAGGAAGTGGTCTCAGAGCTGAGATTATTGGAACTTTTGTGCTAGTTTACACCGTCTTCTCCGCTACTGACGCTAAGAGAAACGCTTGTGACTCTCATGTTCCTGTAAGTTGTAAACAAAAAAAGACAGAACTTTTTCTGGTGTTATTTTGAATTATGATAAGAATGGTTAATTGGTTTTTGGCAGATTCTTGCACCTCTCTCCCTATCAGATTTGCTGTGTTCTTGGTCCACTTGGCAACCATCCCAATCACTGGAATTAATCAAGCAAGGAGTCTTGGAGCTGCAATCATCTTCAGTAAGGACAATGCTTGGGACGACCATGTGAGTATTTCACTCCTCACCAAAAAATTACAATCACAGTTCTGTTTTGGATCACTGGTTTACTAAAGTCTTTGTTTCATTCTTTTTTTTTTCTTTCTAGTGGATCTTTTGGGTTGGACCATTCATCGGTGCTGCACTTGCTGCTCTGTACCACGTGATAGTCATCAGAGCCATCCCATTCAAGTCCAGAAGCTGATTAGAGTTACTCTTTAAAACAACATGTTCTCTTAGTTTGCTTTCTTTTGTGAATGTGCTACTTGTGTGAAACATCTGTGTGTATGTGTTTCCCTCGTCTTTGCCTTATGCAGAAGACTCTTTATGTATAACAAAGACATCCCCTGAAAAATTTGTACTCTAGCCTTTCCAAACGACTTCTACAATTGGCACATTCTGGACACACATTTATCTTCAAACAAAGTGAATCAACACAGATATATGTAATGCCTTAACTTACTATCTGCTACAGAAAAGTTGAAATTGCAGGTGAATCATAAGCTGTTCTCTGTAACCACAATTTAATCATAAGCTGAATTTTGTTAGTATATGTATTGGGAGAATTGATTTGTAAACCATATCCACATCTTAATAGGTTTTTTCTTATTGGGAGAATTGATTTGTAAACCATATCCACATCTTAATATGATACATCTGAGTTCATGTATCTTCATGAATTATCAATGTATTGAATAAAAACTTTTATAAAATAAATAAAAAATTTATTTTCTATATTCATGACTTCTTAAAAATTTAGTTAATTATTTTTTTGTCCAAAAATCTTATTCTATTGAATATAAAATTCTCAAAAAATAATTTAAATATCTTTTTAAAAATTAATATTTTATTCCTGTGAACCCCAACTTCGGATTCATTGATGGAGGTGCACGTTTCATCCGGGTTCATCACTATTCATGGTCCCACCATAAATATAATAAAAAAAGTTTATGAACCCCAAGAGGGGGTTCATTGATGTGGTTGCCCTAAGAGAGAGATAATATTTTTGTCTCAAAGTCTGTGATTACGAGATGGGAAACTGTGCCACCAAACCGAAGGTTCTCAAAGATACCGACGAGGATCTGATTCCGGTGGTAAAGAGCTTGAATGATGCTCCTAGCGCGGCGGATGAAGTAGAGGCTTCGGCGGCACGACGGTGTGAGAAAGGAAAAGAGATTCTCATTGAAGACGATGTGGAGGAAGAACACAGCAAACGTCAATCTCTAAGTCTCTTGTTTCATGAGGTAACTCTTTGCAAAAAGAAATCACATTTAATCTACAGAAAACATTTATTATTAATTCTTGTATGAAATATTTAATAATAACGTTTTACAACAAAATGTATTTGTATGTAAGTGGTTAAACATAATCAGCACATGATATTTTCCAACAAAATATAGTTCTGACATGATCTTGAAAATACATCCAAAGAAACATATGAATGTTACTTATAAAAAATCGTTTAAAATATTCTCTATAAAAGTTCCTAAACATAAATTATGATATTAATTCTTGAGGATATATGGAAAATACCAATGTTACTTTAAAAACCCGTTTAATTTATATTCTCTATAAACTTATAAAGTTTCTTAAGCTTCTCTTGCCTTCTAATTTTAAGGGCTCTCCATTTTAATACATTAGATATTATACACAGAACATTACTTTTATTACTTAATATTTGTTTCTATTTATTTATTGGAGGGTTTACATTCTCTTACTTACAGGACAAGGCACTAGAAAAAGAAAGAACCAATCTATCTCGTAACAAAAGTGGCGCTTCTTCAGAAGCTTCAAAGCTTGATACTTCTGCTCTGGTGGCTTCTAATGTCAAAGCTTCAGCAACATTTGATGTTCAGACTAGAAATGATCTTGAAGTTAAGACTCCTGAAACGCCTAAAGCTAAGGAAGCTGAAGAAAAAGAAGTTAATTTTTCAGAGAATTGGGAAGTTAAGTTTCCAGAGGAATTGGAAGGTGCTAAAACATCTGAAGTTGTCAAGGTTTCTGCTCCTGAACTGTCTGAAGTGAAGGTTACAAAAGAGCCATATGTTCCAGAAGTCTTGGAGGATAAGAATGTTCCAGAAGTTTCAGAGGTTCCAGCTCCTCATGAACTGTCTGAAGTTAAGGTTACAACAGAGTCAGGTGTTCTTGTGGCCTTGGAGGATAAGAATGTTACAGAAGTTCCTAAAGTCATGACTGGTGAAGTTAAAGCTGCAGAGTCAGAACTTATAAAGGTTTCAGAGGTTACAACTTCAGAGGATTTAGATATTGCAGTTCCAAAAGTTTTTGAAGTCAAAACTCCTGAGACATTGAGCATTGGATCAAAGATTAAGACTACAGAAGAAATAAAGGTTTCAGAGTTAGGATTATAGGCAATTTCAGTTTGTGAGTTTGATCTCTAGTGTGTTTTCTTTATTATTACTATGGGTTAAGAAAGTCTATTTTCATGTCACCTTGTGTGTACGGATAAAAGTAGTTAGTGGGACAAGAAAAAGCAAACTCATCATGGACAGTGTTATCTCAAGTGTGAATGATTAGCCACATATAGATATAGTAATAAGCCTAACCTTTAGCACATTTTTAATACAAATTAAGACATTTATTCAACTAATGACAACCTTCACTTCATTACAAATGGTATCATCTTCGTGATGTTGATCAGTCTTGTCATCACCAGCGTTCTTCTCCGCTCTACTTTTCCCCCACAGCACACAGTAGAGTCCTATAATCAATAATAGCCCACCTAGAATACTAAAAACAACATACATATAAGTTAAGTTATTGAATAATTTATTATACATTTGAAGAAAATGATATACTTCAAAAAAAATTGTAGAACCTTCCAAGACTGATGATTTCACAAAGTAGAACCGCTGAAGGGAGGATAGTGAAGAGGAGAGACAAAGGAGTGAACATTGATAAGAAAACAGGTCCTCTCTTCTCTATAACCCATGATTGCAAATAATATGCTACGCCTGTTACAATGAATCCCTACAATGTATATATATTGTTTATATTATTTAGTAAAATATTCTTAGATTTTATATTATTGTGAAATGGAATAGAGTTGTTTTTTTTTTTACGCAGTAAATGACTGCAACAAGTCGTAGGTTCCAACCAAGCTTCCATGCTGAGATATCTCTCTCCACTACAATAGCGATGACAAATGATTGAATTGAACTCAGTAGACAATGAAGGGTTGTGAAGTATAGCTTCGAAGGGTAAACCTTTAACACACGGCCCTGTTTTCACATAGCAAAAACAAACAAAAATAGCAGGAAAATATCTAAGGACTCATTAGCTAATTAAATAAACAATGATTAAATCCAATTAAGAAATCCTGATATTCACTCTCATTTTATAAATTCACTTTTGTTTCACAATGTCGTCTTGTGTTTACTTCTCCATCTTTTTCATAATGAATGTCACTTTAACTTTTATTTATTTATTTTGTTTCAAAATAAGTGTCATTCTATATTTTGAATACAAATTTTCATATTAAATCTTTTTCTTGTCCTTATAAATAACCAATATATTTTTAGTTAAATAATTTTCATTTTAAACAATTATATAATAAATAAAGATATATTAGTATATTTTTTTTTGATTTCTTAATTTATGTGAAACGTGTCTAATTGACACTCTTATAAAACAGAGGGAATATATGCTTATATGTTATATCACGTCACGTCGTACTAAACTGAGTACTAGGTAATATGATAATGTATGGAGCAATTTGATTAGGTACCTGCAAAACGAGCCAGAGACCCCATAAAATGTTAGAGGTGACCATGAGGACACATCCTTTGAGCCACGAGGTGGAACCACCAGAGACGTGGCCGGGAATATTCTGGTGATGATTGAGGTGAAGACATAAAGGTATTTTCAACAGTGGACCTTTGTAAAGAGCTAATGTAAGTACTCCACCCATGCACACAGTTATCCCCAAAAGCTTCGTTGTTCCTTGTATGCTCTTAACAGTAAGCGTCTCCATTCTTCAATATTTATTTATATATACACAATAAATAAAGATTACTAAAATAATTAAGAGAGACAAGAAAAATGTAGTATAAGTATATACCCAAGAAAGAGAGCCAAGAAGAATGTGATGGCCGGAAGGGAAGCTGTTGTGGCGACGGCCAAAGTCGCCGACGTGTATGATAATGCGATTCCGTTTAAGTCCAAACTCAATGTCACACTGAAATTCCAGTATAAATAGAGTTTTAATGATAATTAGAAGAGAGTAACGTAAGTAGCACCAAAAGATAAAAAAGTTATTCGCATTGCGTTTGTCAGTACGGATTTAAAGAAAATGTTGGTAAAAATATTTAACTGTAAAGAGTTTTATAATATTATAACTAATGCACACAAGAAAACACAATATGTTGGTTATTATCAACAATCGAATTTGTAAATTGTAATATGATGCATTTTTCCTTGTTGGCGTTGTATTATTTACAATTTAATTATATTGCTGCTTGATGAAAAGAAACAAATAGAAATAGATTTTCTGAGTTTATACTTTGAACTGAGAGATAATCACTTTTAACATATAAACGCAGAAGGAAAATCAAAGCAAATGAATCCTAAAACTACTTACCCGAATAGAGAGAGCATAAAGATCTTGATGAAGGTCACAAATGGAAGAGGTGGAGCACTTATGGAAAAAATAAGAACACAACTTATGTATATATACTCATCTATTTACCAATATATATAGAGAAGTATATAGTTATGTACCGCTCAAAGAAGAAAGCGAGAGGAGCCAAGAACATGGTTGCAAACGCTTGACGATAGAAAACGAAGACGAAAGTGTTCATTCCCCCATCTAAGACAGCTTTGGAGATCAGAAACATGATTGCATATATTAGTTGTATCATAGTCACCATCATGTATGGTTTCTTGGTCTCCATGTCCATCGATCAATATATAGATTGATGATTTTGGTTTTGCTTTGAGTTCCTGGAAAGATTTCAAGTTGCTCTTTGTAATGTTGTTCTTTAATCTAGAATAAGAAGCGACTTGATATACCCAATTCCCTCTTAGTTTAATCTAGTTTTAAAATTAAAGAAAGACCATCACTCTATAATGGAGTTGATTTGTTGTAACTGTAGATTCTCTGAATTTCAGTCTAGAGTTATATATGTTAACCAATCATACATACAGCCAAAAAAATCTATAGAAAATTAAAAAAATGGTCGTAGAAAGTTTTATTTCCATAGAAAAAATAATGATTTACTGAGGTACAAAAAATAAATCTACAGATTAAATTCTACTGTCAGAAATATAATTTTATGGCTAATTCCAAACCCAATATTCATATCATAATATATGTTAACATGATATCAGACCTATGTGAGCTTGTGAAAGATCTTTAATCTAGTTTTCATATTACGTTTGAGTTTGAATCTGTGCCTGAAGATTTTTTGAAATTAATGACATAACATTTTTCCCTTTTCACATTTATTTTGATATAATAATCTTTGATCTCTTGTTTATATCATGCGAACAATTCTTTTATCATATTTTGTTTACTGTTTTATTTGTTATATCTTTTTTTTAGGCTTTCAACAATTGTTATTAGAATCTTCATTTTGATTATGTATTATTTTGTTATAGATTTTCATCAGTTTATTGTTAACTTATGTTGATTTGAGTTTAGTGATTAAAAAATGCACTAAATTTATCAAGTTCAAAAAAAAAAATGCACAAAGTTTATTAATTTCATTTAGTTGATTTTAGTTTGATAAAACGTGAAAACCAATATCATAAATGGATTTTCCTAATTTTTATACTTATGCATAATTCATATGTATTTTTGAAGGTCATTTTTGTTATACTATGCATTTTGAGTTATTTGATTTGATTTACTGAGATTATAGTGTTGTTTTAGTTTTCCAAATTTTTTTGATAAAATAACTTTTTAGTTATTAATTAATAACTGGTTGTGGTTTACCAACAATTGTAAGCTTTTTTTTCAAGTTTGAGTTTTGGTGACAAAAAAAAAATGTTAGATTCCCTCTTTCTTATATTGTTGGTATGTATTTATGAAACTGAAAAACAATATTGTAAATATTTTTTTAACATTATGTTCTCATAAATTTTATATTAATAGATTATATGATTTAATTTTCACTAAATTATTAATTTTACTAATGTTTTCACATAATTTAAGTTAGATTAGTTAATTACATAAACTTTTAATGTTTATATGTTTACTTTTGGTTCTCAGTTTTGAAAATCTATCATGTATTAATCTATAATTATGGTTTTCTATTTTTTTTGTTAATTTTTCAAGCTTGAGTTTTGTGATAAGAACAATTTTAATTCTTGTAGAATTTTTTTATATATATATATTTCTGTTTGTGTGATTTTGATGAAACGTGAGATACCATTATTTTCTACATTGTATATGTAAAGTTATGTAGAGACACAATTACTTGTTTTTAAATACATTTTTTACCAAACTTAAGTTATATTATTAATGTTTATTAAATTTGTATTATTGTTTTGTTATTTTTTTCTGAACTGATTTTTGTTTAGATGATTCTTTATTATGTATTAATTTTTATTATGCCCTTTCAATCGGTTTTTTGTTAATTTCTCTAAACTTGAGTTTGGTGACAAAGAAGTAAAATGAACTTATGTCAATTCATTTTTTATTGGTCTAGATAAAAATGGAAACTATATTGTAAGTTGATTTCCCCCTTTTTAATATTTCTATTTATTTACAAATTGTATGTATTTGGATTGTATTTTTCATTAAATTATTAGTTGTTTTAAATTTTCACTAAATTCAAGTTATATTATGTATGTTTAAACTATTTTTTTATTGTTGTATTTGATATATTTTGTTAGTTTTTGGTTTTCAAAGTGATTTTTTTTAATACTTTGATTATGTATTAATCACTGATTTTGGTTTTCATAATTTATTTTTCTCTTACATTAAACTTGGTACGAGAAAAGAGAAAATTATTTTGTAAGGTTCATTTTTTTTTATCGTAGCTACAAAAGAAACAAAGGTTCCAGAGTTTGTGGATGCACCAAGAGAAGATTGGTAGATCCGAACCTCAGATTCATGAGGACACTAAAGTGGCAGAAGACAGAAAAAATTGTGAAGCATTAATCAAAGGAAGGAGAAAAACATACCCAATCTGATTTAGATAACAAGTGAGTTACAAGAACTTACCAACCAGGGGTAGCTAAGAATGATTTTTTAAACTAAGTCATGGTTCCAAAAAGAAGTATTAATTTATTAAACAATCTTTTAGGCAATTTCAGTTTGTGAGATTGATCTCTAGTGTGTGTTAAGAAGTCTATATATGGTTTATTTTTCTTTATTATTATTATTATTATTATTATTATTATTATTATTATTATTATTATGTGTTAAGAAGTACTCTATCTTCACTAGAGATCATGATGGTGACTTCCTAACCCATAATAATAATAAAGAAAAAGAAACCATAGACTTCTTAACAAATTGAAATTGCCTAAAAGATTGCCTAATCCTTCTTTTTGGACAAGAAAAAGCAAACTCATTATGGGACACTGTTATGTGAAGTGTGAATGATTAGCCACATATAGATAGAGTAACAAGCCTAACCTTTAGCACATCTTTAATACAAATTAAGACATTCATTCAACTAATGACAACCTTCACTTCATTACAAACGGCATCATCTTCGTGATGTGGATCAGTCTTCTCGTCACCAGCGTTCGTCTTCTCTCTACTTTTCCCCCACAGCACACAGTAGAGTCCTATAATCAATAATAGCCCACCTAGAATACTGAAAAAAACATACATAAAAGTTAATTTATTGAATAACTTAATATACATTCGAAAATGATAATATACTTCAAAAAAAACATTGTAGAACCTTCCAAGACTGATGATTTCACAAAGTAGAATCGCTGAAGAGAGGATAGTGAAGAGGAGAGACAAAGGAGTGAACATTGATAAGAAAACAGGTCCTCTCTTCTCTATAACCCATGATTGCAAATAATATGCTACGCCTGTTACAATGAATCCCTACAATGTATATATATTGTTTATATTATTTAGTAAAATATTCTTAGATTTTTCTATTATGGAACTTGATATTATTGTGAAATGGAGTGGAGTTAGTTAATTACACAGTAAATAACTGCAACGAGTCGTAGGTTCCAACCAAGCTTCCATGCTGAGATGTCTCTCTCGACTGCTATCGCGATGACGAGGGATTGAATTGAACTCAGTAGACAATGAAGAGTTGTGAAGTATAGCTTCGAAGGGTAAACCTTTAACACACGGCCCTATTTTCACATAGCAAAAATAAAACAAAAATAGCAGGAAAATATCATAAGGACTCATTAGCTAATTAAATAAACAATGATTAAATCCAATTAACAAATCTTGATATTCACTTCTCTAGTATCATTTTATAAATTCACTTTTGTTTCACAATGTTGTCTTCACGTCACGTTTTATAGTATTATTTATTTAACCACGTAATATGATAATGTATGGAGCAATTTGATTAGGTACCTGCAAAACGAGCCAGAGACCCCATAAAATGTTAGAGGTGACCATGAGGACACATCCTTTGAGCCACGAGGTGGAACCGCCGGAGACGTTGCCGGGAATATTCTGGTGATGATAAAGGTGAAGACATAAAGGTAATTTCAACAATGGACCTTTGTAAAGGGCTAATGTAATTACTCCACCCATGCACACAGTTATCCCCACAAGCTTCGCTGTTCCTTGTATGCTCTTAACCTTAAGCGTCTCCATTCTTCAACATTTATTTATATACACAATAAATAAAGATTACTAAAATAATTAAGAGAGCCAAGAAAAATGTGGTGTAAGTATATACCCAAGAAAGAGAGCCAAGAAGAATGTGATGGCCGGAAGAGAAGCTGTTGTGGCGGCGGCCAAAGTCGCCGACGTGTATGATAATGCGATTCCGTTTAAGTTCAAGCTCAATGTCACACTGAAATTCCAGTATAGATAAAGTTTTAGCTGGTGTTACAAGGAAAAATATAAAGTCTTAGATAATTAGAAAAGAGTGTTTTATAAACGCAAGTAGAACCAAAAGTTAAAGTTTGATTGATAATTAGAAGAGATTGTTTTATTATAAACACAAGTAGCACCAAAAGATAAAAGCTATTCTAATTTCGCGTTTGTTAGTATAACTTTTTTGAAAATATTGATTAAATATTTAACTCTAAAGAGTTTTCTATTTAATATTCTTACCACTGCATGCGCACAAAAAACACAATACGTTACTTATCAGCCTTGTTAGTAATACAATTTAAAAATGTTGCTAAATATATAATATATTTTCTGAATTTTTTACTCTGAACTGAAATAATTATTTTCACATATAAACGCAAACAAACAAAATTCCAAGCCGTGAAAAAAAAAACAAAAAACAAAATTCCAAGCAACTGAATCCTAAAAAGTACTTACCCAAATAGAGAGAGCATGAAGATCTTGATGAATGTCACAAATGAAAGAGGTGGAGCACTTTTCCTGAACAACAAAAATTAAGCTCAATAAAAATATAAATACACTTTCGGAAAAGATTGTACATACTCATCTATCAACCAATGTATATAGAGAAGTATACAGTTACTTACCGCTCAAAGAAGAAAGCGAGAGGAGCCAAAAACATGGTTGCAAACGCTTGACGATAGAAAACGAAGACGAAAGTGTTCATTCCCTCATCTAAGACAGCTTTGGAGATCAGAAACATGATTGCATATATGAGTTGTATCATAGTCACCATCATGTATGGTTTCTTGGTCTCCATGTCCATCGATCAATATATAGATTGATGATTTTGGTTTTGCTTTGAGTTCTTGGAAAGATTTCAAGTTGCTCTTTGTAATGTTGTTCTATAATTTATAATAAGAAGCGAATTGGGTATTTATAAGTACAAGACACAAGCACGCATAGGTCTGATATTTACGTCGGTGATACTCTAAAATAATGGAATAATAGTACGTAGCTAAGAGTCGAAGAAGAGAAAAGTTGTTACTTTCGTGTCACAATCTTACTATACCAATCAAAATTATTTTAGATGCTGACAGCAGAATTTTCGTATATGTACGTTTCTGTTTCCGTCCACTAGTTAATCACCAAACGGTCCAATCACACTAACTAGATCTACAAATTACTGCATGGTACTGTGAAAACATAGATTCGTAAGCAACAAATACATGGCTAGTGAAATGACATAACCATTAGGTAAAAAGTAGTGAAACCACAGATTATACTCGATCGTTATGCAATCATGGTATATATGCTGTTTCTTAAGTTTTTTTTTTTTTTGAACTTAAGCTGTTTCTTAAGTTAATGTAACAAAATGCTTAATAGTCCTGTTATTCCATCTCACGAGTTTTGTTCGCGGCAACTTTAACAAATAAGAGCAAAGTTTATTATTATTCGTGCGGAATTGTATAATAAGTAAACATGAAGCACGCTATAAATAAAGCTTTTGGTAATAAAAATTTAGAGACGAATCGTGTATAGTAATATTTTCCAAACACGTTAACGTACCGATACGATGAACTCAATTAGTTATATATAGCTATTGTGTGCATGTAACGGCTGACAAGAAAAAAAAGAATCTAGCGGGTGTAACGTTTAAAAATTGATTTGTCAAAAAAGGTTCAACATTGAACGGTATCTTGATTAGTTTATTATGCACTTGGCTAGTTGAGAAATACTTTTATCAGTAAAAAGTTTTGTGGATTACCTGCTGTTTTGTTCGTGCTAGATGTTTGATTTTATAGCCTCAATCGTGATCTATAACATAAACGCCTTAAACTAAGTTATTCATTCGAGTTATCCAATAAAAGATCCCCGAAACAAAATAGATAATACTATAATGTATAAATATATATATGGACCCAATTTAAAAGAAACAATAAAAGTAAAATAAAGGATCAATGAGATTAAAGTGATTGATGACATTACGCATGTGGTTTAAACATATACAAGCAAAGTATAGATGGTGATCGTAATCACTCGTTTCAGGCTCAGCGATGAAAAATAATATCAGTAATATATATACTACTAGTATCATAAAAATTTAGCTTTAGTTGTCCCTTTATGTCCATCTTTTAAATATCACACTTTGTTGGTTTGGTATACATATATAACATGTGTTTTGGTCGGCGAAACCAACATAATCACCTGAAACTAATTTCTAAAAAAATTGGATATAATGACTATTTATTTCCTTAAGACTACTTCTGTATCTAATCAATCAATGATTGAGTGATTTTTACTGGTATGATAAAATTCTCATACGAGCGTCGCTGTCGAAATAAACTTGCCATGCTAAGTTCTGATCATATGTATTGATAGGTACGTAGCATTTAACTAATTATAAAATATTAGACCTTTTAACTAATAACTATATACCCACATATATTCATGTTCTTAGGCTAGAACATACAAAACCTAACTTTCGATGAGTAAATAATTTGTATATTTTTTGCTCTGGTAGTACTCTTTCGTTTATTAGTATTCCCTCGTTTTTAAAATGTGACATAAATATAAAAAAGAGTGATTTAGCTCAAAATACCAAAAAAAATAGATATTTAGGGATTTGCCATATTTTAGGGGGAAAAAGTAGTGATGAAAAAAGAGAAGAGAGAAATAGGGTATTGAGCTAAATAAGCTGTTTTGTGTGTGTATGAAGTGCAAATATTCTATAAAATACTCTTTTAAAAGTATAGTGAAGAAACCTGCAGCGTCCCACATACTTTCAAACCCTCAGTTTTGATGATTATGCAAATTAATGAGAAAGATGCATTCAAGGAATATACGCATCCCCAATCTTTTTCTTCCTCAGATTTTAAAGTGAACCTACCGTCTAAAAAGAAAAGAAAAAAGACAACTAAGGAAGAGAAAGCAAAACAAAGAATGGTTTGGTCAAGAAAAGAGCTATCGTACGTCGTCAATGAATTAAAGAAAATTTGCTTCACAAAATTTAAACGTTGCATTTTAATATATACGGTGTCAGCATCCAATGTACAACAACAACAACAACAACAACAACAACAAATACTACTGATCAGTGATCGACAATAACGATATATCACGTGAGTTTTAGAAGCCAATTAGTTTAGCCCAACAGAATCTATACTATTATTTGCGAAGTGATTTTTTGCAACGAAGTTCTCACGTTAAAAGTTGGAGTGGTTAATATCGTTTATACCTTTAATAAAAATAATATATAAATTACATATACAATAAAAACGAATTTAAATTATTTGGAGTAGATAAATAACTAAAATTAATAATAATCATAAGGATTATCCATAATCTAAATAATATCTTTTTAAATAAAATAATTACGATATACATATATTGTGATGTTATCTGAAAATATATTTTGATAAAAAATTTAACAATTAAAAAAATAGAAAATATATAACTAAATATTAATCAAATTAACTTCTTAATTTTATATAATTGATAAAAATATTATTTGATTTTAAAAATATTTTTAATAGTGAACACAAATTACAAAGAAATATATGTAAGAATTGTTAAATGAAATTATAAATATTATTGGTTTAAACACAATTAATATTTTATCATTATAATCTTTAAAATAGTTAAAGATGTAGTAATAAAATAATTATAAAATATTTAGGCCCGCAAGTGCGGGTACACCTAGTTTAATAGATATCACAAAGTCGTGAAAACACCCATAATAAGCTTTTGAAAGGAGAAATATTTGGGTTCATCCCCTAAGGTAAATCTCTAGATTCACCAATTAATAGAATTTCATTATTACATACTTAGTATCTTTTAAAAAAAGAAAGAAAATATTATCAAATTATATTATTTAAAATTAAAAGATAAAATAAATAAAAATAATAGTAGTTGCAAACAAAAGATTTTTTTTTTAAAATTTTTTTAATACCGTCAGCAAAACCCTAAATCCTAAACTCTAAATCACAAACTCTAAATCTTTGGGTAAATTCTCAATCCTTGGATTAATCTTAAACTCTAGGATTTATGATTAATCCAAAGGTTTAGGGTTTAACCAAGAGTTTAGGATTTAGGGTTTAGTGTTTGTTGACAATATTAAAAATTTTGTTTTAAAAATTCTTTTGTTTGCAACTACTATTTCCCTATTTTTATTTATTTTCAGTGATTTGATTTTCTTTTGTTTTGTTGACAGAGACAATGCCAAATTTTGTTCATGTGATGGGGATCGACAAGTTTATTACTGGGTTATTTCAACCGGACGCGTCATCTGTAAGTTCCGAGGTGCAAGTAGAATCTATGTGTTGGTTTCTAAGATTCAGCTTGTTTTATTTTCGCTTCTCTAGTTCTCTGTCTTGTGTTTTCACAAGAGAGAAACCCATACATTTTCAAGTACTTTACCTTAGTGATCGACAATATAAGAAGACCCATGTGTTTTATTTTCGCTTCAAGCACTTTGAGTGTTTTTTTCTTAAGTGTTCGTACAAATAAATAAACCATGTTAACAAACCTTTTTTCTTTAATTGATGTCTGATTTGAAATCAAGTGAAAAACATAAATATTTTTTAACTATTTTTCAAATACCCCAAATTTTGTAAATTATGTGGAGGCCTCTGTTCATACTGGAAGAAACACATTAGAAAATCTTACGCATGTTTAGCATATAGAAGAACACAAAACATAGTTCAATTTTTATGAACTTTTTATAACTTCAATAGAAAAAAGAACCATATAGTTTATTTTTTTATCAAGTCCATATAGGTTTTTATTAGAAAGAAAAAAAAACTAATGAATAAAACCCAATAATAGGGGATACAATATAAAGCAGGAAAATTCATGGGTGTGGTCTCTAGGCCGCGGTAAGAAGATCGTTCAAAGACATGAGACTCTCAATGTGATTGGGAAAACAATGAGATCTGAACTCGATTTCTCCACTCCCCTCGTACTCAACTTTTCTTACTCTATTTCTCTCCAAATCATAGTATATCGCATAGAATGGCTTCTCCGCAAGGTCTGGTAAGTAAATCAACTCATCATCAACGGTCTCACCACTTACATGTAATAAAAAGATTCCTTCCCCTGTTGACAGAGAAGTAAGCGATTTAAATGGCAGAGAGGAGTCTTTTCGCAACCATTCATGTTTCTCAGCATCCTCCAAAATCCATAATGAGATTCGTCCCGAAAGACTGCTGATATTATTAGAAAACAAAGCTAATCTTCCCCTATGTCTTATAAAACCACACGGAAGTACTTGCATACCCCAAGGCAGCCCTTTTCTAGGACAAGACATATCTGGTATTTGGATTACTCCAAACTTCTCGGACCTCACGTCAAAACTCACAATAGTGTTATCAGCCGCTAAATAGTACACAACTCCGTTGATGCATCTCCAAATTGCCTTGTACAACTTAACATGGCTAGGGCTGCTGTCTTGGATAATTAACCTTCTCCATGATTCTCCAGGTCCCAGTGTAAGAATCTGAGGGTCTTCATCCTTAATCCAAAGTGACATGCACAACACTTTGTATTCATCACCGATGGGATCGTATCCCAAAAGGGATATTAAAGGTTTCGAGACTTTAGGCTCGGTTAACTTTACGTGTTGTTTCAAGGTTGGATTCCAAATTATGACACTCTCAGAATTTTCAACGGGGATCATAAAAAAAGAAAGTTTACAAAATAGTAATATTTAACCTAAATATATTTTTAAATAACATAAATTATACTTTTAAGTAATAAAATACTTTATATCTATATCTTCCTAGATGAAAAAAATATTTGTATATAATGTGTTCTCATTAAAAAAGTTCATACAAATAATCTTGATATTGGAAAACAAATATTTTTTCTTTAAAAAAAATAATTTAAACAATAAAATATATATTTTAAAATTAATTATTTTTTTGATATATCTATCTATTTTATTAGATGATTACATAAAATAATTAAGTAACATAATCTGATATATGTTTAATTGACAAAAAAAAATATAATTAGTATTATTGAAATATTTTTAGTATATTTATTTGATTATAATATCTTACAATTACAGCAAAAAATATAAATTATATTTTACTTATATAATATAATTTCTCAAAAACAATCACATTTTTACTGCATATTTTAATATATGTTAAAAACAAAACTAAAAATAAATTTAATAATAAACATCTTTTGATCAAATAACTACAATTATTTTAATATCATAACACTATAATTTAACAAGGTAGATATATTATAATTAATAGTTAAAATTACCTGTTTTCTCAATAACTCTTTTGATGTTTGATTTTCTGTTTTTATGTTTGTGGAATTTAATATAACGATAATCTAATACTTAAAGCAAATCAGAATTCCTTATTTTTAAAATTATTTAAAAAAAAATTCAGTTTATCATCGATCAATCTGTGGCATAAATTATTTAGAATTTATAAAATATTTTAATTATTGTAAATATTGATATGTGTTCATGAGTTTTCAAAAATTCATTATTATTTATGTATTTTAGAATCAGACACTTTAGTTTTTATTTTTTTCGTTCTAAGCACAAAAAATCTTAAAATACATAACTTACTAAGATATACTTATATATCGTAGATAACAACCAACATAAATGTAAATAAAATAATTAATCAAAAATTTAAGATATTTAGAATAAAAAAGATTATAGTTGAATTCATAGAAATAGAAAAAAATCCAATATATATATATATATATCCAAATGATAAAACTGACTAAATATAATATATATAAAATTATAATAACTAAAATAATACAATATTATTAATACAAATTATACATACAAACTATAAATTAATATAAAATTTAAAGTAAATATCAATCAACTATTATAATATATTTATTTCTTAAATATTTAAGTCCGTGCATGAGCACGGGAAAATCACCTAGTTATAATGTAAATATACAAAAACTACATTGACGAGAATGCGTGAAAGAAAAGATAATGGTAAATTTCAAAAACAACGATCCAATCTTTATGTATCCTTCCTTTGCCTATCCAATCATGTCAAAATTATGGAAAAATACTACAAAGAGATCGAGAAGAAGGGAAAGTACCATATTTCCTGTGCATTCATGTCAAAATTATTATGAAAAAACTGTAGATACGAAGTGTTAAGTACCATATTTCCTGTGCATTTATTATCATCCCTATATATTAATATAGAAATATTTAAAATGTTATAATATGTAATTTATATTAATTAAATTTTTTTTTGTTGAGTTGTCATGTAATTGGAATGCTAATTTTGTTTACGTGGCGGTCTAAGAATCAATTGCAAATTTTGTTAGTCCAAAAGTAAATTGCTAAGAAATCTACTCTATTAAAATATAATCCTTCTTTTTATTTACTGATACAAGTTGTCATTTATATTTGGACTATTTCTAGAGTATTACAAATAATATAATCCATATTAATTGAACCGCATTACTTAAACTAAACCGGTAGTTATTTATGAGATATAGTCTTGGGCTTACTTTTTTTTTAGAACATATTATATGGTTTGGTTTTTGGGCTTAGTATTAAGGAAAAACTACAAAAACATTGAATAAAATTTTCACCTTAATGGATAAAAAAATCAATTATTATTTTCAGGCTCAAAAAAGTATTTTTTTTTTTCAACAAAACAAAATTGTCTATTAATAATCATTTATTTAAATCATGTACTTTAAAACATGTTAATGTATTTTTTTATTTTAAATAACGATCACTTTTTTTGATAAATTTCAATGGTAACTTTTAAATATTTTTTTTATTTTTCTTAAATTCTTTACCGATTTAAAAAAATGTAAAGCAAAACCAAGAACCAAATCTAAAAACTAATCCAAAACCAAAAGCTGAAAACACAATTTATATTTTTTTTTTTGCTTTTGTTTATTTACAAAATAAACTATTGCAAATTATTTTTTTTAACAATTTTGTAATCTTTTCAGTTTTAAATTAGATGTTCGATTATTTGAGATTTGTTTGTTGGTAATATCAGTTCAACTTAACTCAGCGGGTCTAAAAATTAAAAACCTAAACCAAAAGATAAAAATCAAAAATAGATACTTAAATACTAAAAACCAAAATCTAAAAAAAAATCTAGAAATAAAATCTGAAACTAAAAACTAATAAAAAACTATCATCACCACAAATTTTGGTGAACTGATTTTACACCAAAACATTCTTTAAATTCAGAAAAACCCAATTATATAAAATTTTAATAATAAAATATTTCCGTTCAAGCGCGGGTCAAAATATAGTATTATATTATATAGTATGTCCATTGTTGAACATTCATTTATTAAATTTGAAATTTACTCTATATTCTTTCCTTAAATAAACCCTATGTAATTACCTAATGTGATTAAGATATATATGACAATTAATGATTTTAAATAATAAAGATTTCTTAACATTTTGTATATTTTTTCCTTTTTATTTAATTATTTATTCTTAAAATAAATGACACAATTACATTAACATATAATAAAAAATTAGATTTTTTGTTTATGTTGTATTTTGCACTTTTCAAAACAAGTATAAATTACTACGACTGTTAAAAGTCTCAAAAAAATCCTTCTCTAAAGAGGATAAATAGTATAGATAAAATCCTTGTCTAAAGAGGCTAAATAGTGTTTGACAAAAAAAAAAGAGGCTAAATAGTATAGATAATATTTATCATAAAATAAGAAAATATGAAATTTTTGTTTTAATGCATAGATGCATCATGCACTAGGATAGTATGAAGATTAAATATGTTTGAGACGTTAGGTGTTTCCATTTCTCTAGAAAGTAGAGATTTTATAGGGTAAAAAGTTATAGGGGTTAGTACACTAATTAGACGTATATGAAGTTATAAAAATTTATTCGTTATAAAATTAGAAATGATGCCCATGTACCATGAGAATATGTATAGCATACATTAATATTCATTAGAGTGTGGTTAGTTATTTAAGAAAATATAAATGAGGCTATTCTTTAGTATATATAACATTTACTGGAAAAATTCATATTTTCGTAAGATCAATTAAAAAATATAATATTTTTAAAAATGCATAATCTTATCATTCAGTGAGAAAAATTAAAGTGGTCTGAGACCTTATTTATCCAAGTTTCTATAGAAATTACATTTTATATGGGTTAATCCACATAATTAGGTAGAATATCCAGTTTTATTAAATTACTCATTTAAATATTAGAAATGATGCTTATGTATAATGAAAGTAAGTTTAATATACATTAAAAAATGTATAATGTGACTAGGTATTTTTTAATCAACATGAAATAGCGAAAACTTCAGTATATAGCATTTATAAAAAAACTCGATCTCTTTGTAGAGGTTAACCCACAGATTTCAAAATAAATTAGAAAATACAATATTTTTAATGCATAGATGCATCCAAGACAGATATAAGATTAAGATTAAGGATTTCTAGCACCTTTGTTATCCCAATTTCTATAAAATATACAGATTTCATAGCGTTTAGTTCTTTGATTTACGTAGTATATGAAGTTTTATAAAATTATTTGTTGGAAAATTATAACTAATGCCCATGTACCATGAAAGTAAAATTTGGATACACTACTATAAAGTTTTAATGTGGTTAGATATTATGAACAACAATAAAGAGACTAAACTTAAGTACATATAACATTTGTCGGAAAACTTCGATCTTTTCGTATGGGTTAACTCACAGATTTCAAAATAAATTAGAAAATATATAATTTTTGTATTTATGCATATCTGCATCCAACAAAGATATATGATGAATATTAATGAGTTTTGATAACTTAATTGTCCAAATTTCTCTAGAAAATAGAGATTTAATAGGGTTTAGTTCATTGATTTTGGTGGTATATGGAGTTTTATTAAATTCCTCGGTTGAAAATTAAGACTGATACCTATGTATCATGAACATGAGTTTAGTACACTAATAGAAATTTTGAATGTGGTTATGTATTTTTAAACAAAACCTAAGAGGTCTATTATATCATTTATCGGTTAACCCACATATTTCAAGATAAATTAAAATATATCATACTTTTGTTTTATGACTTTATTCATCATGAAGTGACATAATATGGAGAATAAAGAGGGTTGAGACCTTAGGTGTTTCTGTTTCTCTAGAAAATATTTTTTTATTGGGGTTAGTACACTTATTAGCTGGTATATGAAGCTGAAATAAATTACCCATTGGAAAGTTAAAAATGATGTCATGTACCATGAAAATAAGTTTAGCATACATATATAAATAATTTAGAAGTGTGAATAGGTATTTTTAAACAATACTAAATACACTAAATAGTATAGATATTATTTATCAAAAAATTCAATTTTTTGTAAGAAAATATGGAATTAGAAAATATTTTAAGATAAATTAGAAAACATGGAAATTTTGTTTTAATGCATATATGCATCATGCACTGACATAATATGAATATTTAATATGTTTGAGACCTTAGGTGTTCTCGTTTATCTAGAAAACATTCATAGGAGTTAGTACACT